GGAGGGGGCGGCGGCGCCGGGGGAGCTCCCGCGGGAGGGAGGGGCGGAGACGGAACCGCCGGTACCGGGAATGGCCCCGAACCGGGAATGGCCCGAACTGGGAATGGTCCTGAACCGGGAGTGGTCCTGAACCGGGAGTGGTCCTGAACCGGGAATGGCCGGAACCGGGGAGCCCGAACCGCGCATCCCAAACCGGGCATCACGAACTGGGAATTGTCCCCGCACCGGGAATGGTTCTGAACCGGGAATGGCCCCGGTACCGGGAATAGGCCCCGAACCGGGAGTGGTCCTGAACCGGGAACAGCCCCCGAACCGCGGTCCCAATCCAGGATCCCGCGGGCCCGGCCCCTCGCGGGGGTCGCGCATTCCCGGGATCTCTCCCTGAGCCGCTTTTCCAGGCCTTCCCGAACCTCTGCAGGTGGCCGGGAGGGCTTGGAAAACCTCGGGAATGGCTCTGGGAGCTCGGGGGGATCCCAAATCCATCCTGGAGCGACTCCCGGATTCCCGCGGGCGGGGGAGGTTTCGCTTCCTCAGGGCTGATCCCGTCTCTTCCCATCCCGGGATCCCCAGGAGCTGATCCCGCGCTCCCATTCCCGATCCCTGATCCCATCCCTGATCCCTGATCCCGCTCTCCCATTCCCGATCCCTGATCCCATTCCCGATCCCTGATCCCATTCCCGATCCCTGATCCCGCTCTCCCATTCCCGATCCCTGATCCCATTCCCAATCCCTGATCCCGATTTCCCATTCCCGATCCCTGATCCCTCTCTCCCATTCCCGATCCTGATCTCCCATCCCGTGGTTCTGCCCCTGGAGCGATCCCGAGCCCCTGGATCCTGCTGGATTTGGTGACCTGGAGCAGAGGGGGAAATTCCAGAGGAGCCAATGGGGAATTTGGGATCAGGGATCCAAGGCTGGGAATTTGGGATCAGGGATCCAAGGCCGGGCTGATTCCAGGGAATCCTTGGGAAGGCTCCGGAATGACCTCAGTGGGCTGCAGGAATGGGATCGATGATCCCATAAAAGCCCCAGGGCTGGATTGGGAAAGGCTGGAATATGGGGAATGGCGCTGGGGGCTGATCCCTCCCCAAAGCCTGGAATGGGATTTGGGAATGTCCAGGGAAAACAGGGAGAATCCGTGCCAGAATCCCAGGAAATTCCCAGCCCTTCTGGACAGGGATCGATGCCCAGGCCGGAATTTGGGATGCGAATCCACAGTCGGGATCAAAGAACCCCAAATTCCCGGGAATGCGGGGCCGCACTTGGAAGCCAGGCTGGGAATTTGGAGCCTCATTCCCAGGGATTTTATTGGAGTGGGATTTATCCCGGAAAAAAGGGAAAGCAGCTGCAGCAGGATTGGGAATTCACTGTTGGATTTTAGGGAAGGGATGAGCCAAGGGAAAAAAGTTTTCCATGATTTTATCCCAAAATTCCCTGTGCTCCATCCGAGCTCTCCCCGTGGATTTGCTCTCCTGCGATCCATGAAATCCAAAGGAATTCCAGGAGCAGCTCGGCCCCGATTCCGGGGTTTTTCCAGGCCAAACTGGGACGCGGATCCCGGGAATCGCTCCCTGGATATTCCCTGGATTTGGAGAGGGAAGAGACTTTTCCCGGGTGTTTTTTTGGCTTTCCGGAATTCCGGGAAAAGCTGCGGCGATCCAAAGGGAACGGTGGGATTTGGGGATGGGAATCGTTCCCACGGCGAGGCAGGAAAAGGGGGGAGGGGGGGGGAGCTCCAGGGAATTCCTGGATCCCGGGACAGGAATTCGGGATTCTCCTCCCACGCCGGAGGAGCCGGAAACCTTGGATAAGCTTTTCCAAAGTTTGTAAATATTCCCGGGAATCCGGGGCCCAAAGGCATCCGAGACTTTTCCTGGGATTTGGGGGGGGAAGGATCTGGAATATTCCCTGGATCCGCCCCCCCCTCACTTCCCACGGGAAGGAGCGGCCGGAGCCGCCGGGGGAGTTTGGAATTAAAAATAGGATGGAGCCGAATCCATGGGAATGCTGGGAGAGCCCGAATTCCCTGGAAAAAACACCGAGGGGGATTTTACATTCCCGGCTTTCCAGGAGATCCGTGGGAATTTGGGATAATTCTCCCGGGTTTAATGATATATAAATCTATAATTTTATAATTTTATAATTCCTTGGTCTCGGTGCCTTGGGAAGGGAAAAGCTTCCGGAATCTTGGGAATTTTGGGAGTTCTCAGCCTGGAGAAATCTCCCGGGAAACAGGAGGAGCAGGAAGGGGGCGGGAGCGGGATTGGAGGGAGCAGGGATGGGAATGGGAACGGAATCTTTGGGAATATCCAGGGGGAATTATCCAGTGGGAATATCCAGGGGGAATATCCACAGGGAATATCCACAGGGAATATCCACAGGGAATTCCGCGCTCAGGGAGGGGCCGGAGTTTCGGAGCTTGGATCAGCCGCTCCCAATTCCCAGCCATTCCAGAGGCTGCTCCCAAATCCCGAAGGAATCCATGACCGGGATCTCATTTTGGGAAGAGGGATCCGGAATGATCCGGAATGATCGGAATTTTCCCCAAAAAACCCTGTTGAGAGGAGGATCCCGGGATGATCCCACAGCTCCTCTGGATTCGATTGGCAAAATCCTGGAGCCGGGATCCCAAGGAATGGGAACATCCCAAGGGAACGGGAATATCCCAAGGAATGGGAACATCCCAAACATGGGAGCATCCCAAGGAATGGGATCATCCCAGGGAAATGGAGCCAAACCCAGATTCCAGAGGGAAAATCCCAACTATTCCCTGTCAGGATGAAATAAACGGAAGTTCTCCGTGGCTGGAGGTTGGAATGCCGGGATATTCCCGCTGGGAATTCTCGGTGTCCTCTGGAAGGGCGGATTCTGTGGCCGATCCATGGATCCATGGAAAAGCCGGATCGATCCGTGGCCGTGCCAGGAGGGAATTGGAGCGCACGGATCGATTTCCCGGGAATGCGGGATGGGGCCTCCTCCGGGGGGCTCCTGAGATGGGATCCCGGGAATTCCAAATATCCCCGAGGGGCTCCAGGAGAGCTGGATTTGGGATCACGGGACACAGGGAATGGCTCCTGCTGCCGGGAGGAGGGGCTGGATGGGATTTTGGGATTTTGGGAAGGAATTCCCGGCTGGGCTGGAATTCCCAGAGCAGCTGGAGCTGCCCCTGGATCCCTGGAATGTTCAAGGTGAGGCTTGGAGCAGTCTGGGATGGAGCCAGAGAATCCATGGAATGTGGGAGAGTTTGTTATTCCCTAAAATTCCTCTCCTTCCCTTCCCTATTTTTCCCCATTTTTCCCATTTTCCCCTATTTTTCCCCCCTTTTTCCCCCAATTTTTTCCCCTTTTTGTCCCAATTTTTCCCATTTTTTCCCCATTTCTCCCCAATTTCCCCCCTATTTTTTCCTCATTTTTCCCCAATTTTTTCCCCATTTTTCCCCCATTTTCCCCCAATTTTTTCCCCCTTTTTCCCCCTTCCCTCATCCCCAAATTCTCCACAAAACCTTGGAAAATCCCGGCTGGGCTCCCCAATCCCTGTGGAAATGGGGAACAGGGATCGGGATCCGTTGGAATCCGGGAACGGGAAAATTTCCCGGCTCCAATTAAAATTCCCCTCACCCGAGACGACTCCGGCCCTTTTTAACAAGTTCTAATTAATTGGCATTCCGGGCAATTAATTTGGGATTCAATGGAATTAATTCATTGGGATTCAATGGAATTCATTGGGATTCAGTGGAATTCATCAGGGTCGTTCCCGGGGCCTGGCGGGAATTCTGGGATCCGTAACTCACACCCGCCCGGCCGGGCGTTCCCATCCCCCTTCCCGCTTTTTTCCATGGAATTCCATCCGACCCTGAATGGTTCCATTCATCCCGGGAGCTCCATCCCGGATTCCCGGCTCCGGAGTCATTCCCTAAATCCGGCCCTGAGGGGGGAAAGAATCTCCGGATGGAGGGTGGGGGAGGGGGGAGCTGCTCCGGGGGCCCCCAGATCCCGGGATTCCGGAATTCCCAGAAATCCCGCGCTCCTTTGTTGGTGGTGAACGCTCCCAGGCTGGATCTGAGGCTGGAATGGAGCGGAATTCCCGGGAAAAGCAGCGCCAGAGAAAGGGAAAAATCAGGATTGATCAATCGGGATCGATTGGGATCAATCGGGATCCCAGGAGATCTGAAGAAATCCGAGAATTCTGGGAATGGTGGCAGCCATGTTCTTGTATCCAAAGCTTTTCCAAACTCGTCTAAAATCCAAGGAATTTGGGTGGGAGCTGTGGCCGCCCTCCCGATGGATCCGGAATTCTCCGGGATGAGCTCGTCCTGCTCGTTCCGGCTTTTCCCTCCTCTCAGAATTCCCGAAATCCCACTCCAGTCAGGAAAAAGCCTGGAATTGTTTTTCCCCTGGATGAAATGGAATTCCATGGAGCTCTTCCCCATCCCGCTGGGATTCCCACCGGGAATTTGCCCCTCTGGAAGCGCTGCGCGAATCCCAAAAAATCCTGCCAAAAAATGATGGAAAACTATGGAAAAACAATGGAAAAATCCATTTTTCCAGAAAAAAAAAAAAAAAAACAAAAGTTTGGGAAGATCCAGCAAAATTCCCAGTGGAAATCCCGGGAAACTGCTGGGGATGTTTGGGATGGGGCGGGGCCGGGAGCAGGGATCGTCGCCATGGAGCTGATTCCATGGGAATGGGGATGGGGATGGCCAAAAAGGCTGAGCCAAATCCCAGGAATATCCAAGGAAAACTTGGACGAATCTGGGATCGGGAAATGTCCCTGGGCAGGGAATGGGATCCGAGGTCCACTCCAGAATTCCAGGATTCCGGGATTTCCAGGGATGCTGGAGAATCCCGAGCCATTCCCGGATTCCCGCGGATCCCTGGATCCCCCGGATCCTTCTCATGGTTTTTGGCGGTTGGGGATGGATCCCGGCTGGGAATGGGGATCCAAAGGGTTTCCTTCTTTTCCAGGCTCCCGGAGCAGCCGCGGTTCCCTGAGCTCCGGCTCCATCCCGCGGGATCCGGAGGCTCCGGAGCAGCCGAGCGGGGCAGGTGAGGATCCCCAGGGATCCGGACCAGGACGGCAAATCCCGGGATTCCGTGCCAGGCTGGGAATGTCCCATCCCAGATTTCTGTCAATCATCCCAAATTTCCAGCAATTATCCCAAAATTCCATCATCAATTATCCCATCCCAAATTTCCAGCAATAATCCCAAATTTCCAGCAATCATCCCATCCCAAATTTCTGTCAATCATCCCAAATTTCCACCAATTATCCCAAATTTCCATCATCTATGATCCCATCCCAAATTTCCCTCAATCATCCCAAATTCCCAGCAATGATCCCAAATTTCCATCAGGGATCCAATCCCAAATTTCCACCAATTATCCCAAAATTCCATCATCAGTGATCCCATCCCAAATTCCCAGCAACGATCCCATCCCAAATTTCCCCGCTGGAAGTTGGGAATTCACTCCCGTGGTTTTTTATCCGGAGTTTTCCATGGATTCCCCCCAGGCCTGGAGCCGTTATCCCGAGGAATCTCGGAAAAGGGAGTGGGAGGAAAACCCGGCTCGCTTCCGGAATTTTTTCCGGAGGTGGAATTTTGGGATTGTTCCCGGCCCGTGGGGGCTGGGAAAGTTTGGATTTCCTCCTCCAGGAGTTTTCCCGGATGGAAAACGATCCAAGCTCTTTGTGCCTTTCCGGGAGAATTCTGTGAGATCCGTGGGAATTTGGGAAGTGGCTCCAGGATCCTGGAGGGACGAGAATTCCCAAGAATTTAAATACAAAAAAAACCTCGGAGACTTTTCCTGGAGTTTCCAGGAAGCGAAAAATCCTTGGAAAGTCGAATTCCAGGGAAATCCCAGAGAATTCCAGGCTGGAAAAAACTCAGCTGGGAAATTCCCGGCTGGAATTTTCTCGTCTCCCACATTCCATGGATTCTGCTCCAAGCCCCATCCCAGCTCACCTTGAACATTCTATGTCTTTTCTGGGAATTCCAGAGAATTCCAGAGAATTCCAGGGAATTTTTCCCACTTCCCACGGGAAGAATTCCTTCCTGCCATCCCATAATCCCACTTTTCGGAATCCCGATCCAAGCTTTTCATGGAATTCTTCTCCCTCCGGACCTCGTAAGCCGCCTGGGATCCTCCAAAGGAAAAAAAAAAGCAGGAAGAGGGATCAGGAATCGGGAATTCCGTGCCCAGGGGTTGGATCCGGGAAGGGCTCCGGGGGTTTTTCCCTGGAATTCCTGGGAAATGAATGGAATTTTTTCCTTTTCCCAGAGCTCCATGCGGGATCTGCACAAGGCCGAGGTGCTCGGGAGCAAACGCGGCCTGGTGAGTGCCCCGAGCCGGGAATTCCACAAAATCCATGGAAAACTCATCCCGGGGCAGCCCAGAGCTCCCCCCCGGGGCCGGATCCGCTCCGGAGATCCCCAGGAATGTTGGGAATTGGCGCCGTTTCCGCCCCTCATCCCGAATTCCTTTGGGTTTTCCCTCTTGGGATGAAGCGTCGAGGCTGGATCAGGAATTCCGGGAATTGTGGGGAGGATGGATTGGGAATTCCAGCCCAGAATGGATCGGGAATTCCAGCCCAGAATGGATCGGGAATTCCAGCCCAGGATGGATCAGGAATTCCAGGAATTCTGGTGAGGTTGGATCAGGAATTCCAGCCCCAGAATGGATTGGGAATTCCAGGAATTGTGGTGAGGCTGGATCGGGAATTCCAGGATTGGTCTGGATTGGGAATTCCAGGAATTGTGGTGAGGCTGGATTGGGAATTCCAGCCCGGGATGGATGGGGAATTCCAGCCCAGCTGCTGCTCCCGAGTTTTCCCCTCCCAATGGAAAGAATTCCGGGATTGGGATGGGCCGGTGCCTCCGGAGGGGTTCCCCAGCCCGGATTTCACCTCCGGATCGGGATCCCAACGAACTCCGGGATATCAATCCCAAAACATCCCCTGGAGGATCCGGGATGGCCCCGAATCCCTTCCCAAACCAAATCCTTCGGGATTGAATCCCTGAGGCTCCCAAACCCCTCGATCCCGAGGGAAAATTCCCCGTGGAACCACCGGAAATTTGGGATCACGGCTCTATCCCGGGAAAGTGCCACAGCAGCGAAAATTCCCGGAAAAAATTCCAAACATTCCCATTTTTCCCAAGTTTTCCGCAGGAGGGAATCGCGGGATGTCCCGGGAGGGACTGGGAAGCCCCGGTTCCTTCCCGGCCGTTCCCGATCCCGGATTTTCCTTGGGAAAAGCGGCTCCCGGCGGTGCCCATCAATGAGCCTTTGATGCTGGAAATGTCAAACTCCGCCATTCCCGACCTTTCCATGGAAAAAAAACTTCCAGGGATGGGCCGGATCCGGAGGGAGGGAAAACAAAAATCCCCAAATTCCCACAAAACCCGGCCTCGGTTTTATCCAGGAAATCCCAGACTGGTAATTTTTGATCCCGGTTGCCAGGATCCAGGAGTTTTCCCACCTCGGATTTCCTTTTCCCGAGGATTTTCCAGAGCAAATCCCTCTTTTTTTTTCCCCCTCTCCCCCACCGAACCCATTGGAAAATCCCGAGGGAAAATCCCGTGGGAAAAATCCCTTTATTCCCGTTAAAACCACAAAAACTCCCGGAAGGAAATCCATGGAGAAGAACAAAAACCTGGAAAAGAGGGATTTTTCCTGCCAGGAATTCCAGGTGGAGGCAGGACGGGATTTCCCCGCGCTCGGGGCGGATTTACCGGCGGCTATTTTTAGGATATCCAGGTTTTTTCGGGATTAGGGTCGGAGCCGCGCCGGCTGTTGCGGCCGGAGCTCCTTTCCCGGTTTTTCCCTTTCCCAGTTTTTCCCTCTCCCGGTTTTCCCCTTTCCCACTTTTTCCTTTTCCCGATTTTCCCCCTTTCCTGGTTTTTCCCCTCTCCCGGTTTCCCCCTCTCCCGATTTTTCCCCTTTCCCGGTTTTTCCCCTCTCCCGGTTTTCCCCTTTCCCGATTTTTTCCCTCTCCCGGTTTCCCCTCTCCCGGTTTTTCCCCTCTCCCGATTTCCCCCTCTCCCGATTTTTCCCCTTTCCCGATTTTCCCCTTTCCCGATTTTCCCCTTTCCTGGTTTTTCCCCTCTCCCGGTTTTTCCCCTCTCCCGCCGTTTCCAAGGCTCCCGAGGGATGAAAGGATCCTTTGAGATCCCGGGAAAGGCCGGAGCTGCCGGGAGAGCGGGAAAAGATCCAAGAGCGGCCGGAGCTGCCGGGAGAGCGGGAAAAGATCCAAGAGCGGCCAGGGGCGGCTCCCGGGCCTCTTCCCGATTTTCCAGGCCTTTCCATTCCCAGGGAATCAGGGCAGAGCTGGAATTTTACTCCCGGCTTCTTTTCCCACTTTTCCAGGGGTTGCTGTTCCAAGGGAATCAGGGTAGATCTGAAAGCTTAATCCTGGAATCTTTTCCCGCTTTTCCAGGGGTTGCTATTCCCAAGGAAGGAGGGCAGAGCTGGGAATTTATCCTGGAATATTTTCCTGCTTTTCCAGGCCTTTCCATTCCCAGGGAATCAGGGCAGAGCTGGAGATTTACTCCTGGAATCTTTTCCCGGGTTTTCAGGCATTGCTGCTCCCAGAGCAGCTGGAATTTTAATCCTGGAATATTTTCCTGCTTTTCCAGGGCTTCCTGTTCTCAGAGAAACAGGGAACAGCTCCTGGAATTTTACTCCCGGGTTCTTTTCCCGCTTTTCCAGGCCTTGATGTTCCCAAGGAATGAGGGCAGAGCCAGGAGTTTAATCCTGGAATATTTTCCCGCTTTTCCAGGCGTTGCTATTCCCAAGGGCAGAGCCGGGGATTTCCTCCCGGCTCCTTTTCCCCGGGATCGCTGCCGGATCCTTGGGATCCCCTCTGGATCCGTGCGGGAAAATCTCGGGAATCGGAACATTCCCGACGCTCCAATTCCCGCCCGTCCCTTCCGAGCGGGAATTCCTTTGGATCCCGGCCGTGTCCCGGCATTCCCGAGCCTTTGGGAGCCTTTCCAGGGTTTTTTGGGAATGTTCATGTCGGGATGGGCCCATCCTGGTGCTTCCATGTCCCGCCGGGCACCGACGGATTGGGGCTTTGGGAATAATGGGATTCTTGGGAATAACAGGATTTCTTGGGAATGGGATTTCTTGGGAATGAGATTCCTTGGGAATGGGATTTTATGGGAATGGGATTTGTTGGGAATGGGATTTTTTTGGGAATGGGATTTTTGGGAAAAATGGGGTTTTTTGGGAATAATGTGTTTTTTGGGGAATGGGATTCCTTGGGAAGGGGATTCTTTGGGAAGGGGATTCTTTGGGAGTAATAGGATTTTTGGGAATAATGAGATTTGTTGGGAATAATAGGATTCTTTGAGAATGGGATTTTTTGGGAGTGGGATTTGTTGGGAATAATGGGATTTTTTGGGGAATGGGATTTCTTGGGAATTTTTTCAGATTTTTTTGGGAATTCTGAGCCTACTTTTCGAGCCTTTCGGGATCCACTCCTCTCTCCAGGGAGCGCTTTCAATTCTTCGGGAACGCTCGTGTCGGGATGGTCCCACCCCCACGGGAAAATCCCCAGGAATGTGGGGGGGGATTTTTCCCGGGAACGCCGAATTCCCGCCTTTTCCCGCAGATGTCATGGCGGCCGCAGTACCGCAGCTCCAAGTTCCGGAATGTTTACGGGAAGGCGGCGAGCCGGGAGCTCTGCTTCGATGGAATTCCCATCACCAAGAACGTCCACGACAATCATTTCTGCGCCGTCAACGCGCGCTTCCTCGCCATCGTCACCGAGAGCGCTGGCGGCGGCTCCTTCCTCGTCATCCCGCTGGAGCAGGTGAGACATTCCCAATGGGAATTCCCAAAAAATTCCTGCTGGTTTTCCTGGGGTTCCTTCCTCGTCATCCCACTGGAGCAGGTGAGACATTCCCAATGGGAATTCCCAAAAAATTCCCGCTGGTTTTCTTGGGGTTCCTTCCTCGTCATCCTGCTGTAGCAGGTGAGACATTCCCAACCGGAATTCCCAAAGTTTCCAAATTCCTGCTGGTTCTCCTCGGGGTTTCCATGTCATTCCACTGAGACAGGGAGGATTCCCAACGGGAATTCCCAAAAAAGTGTCAGAATTCCTGATGGTTTTCCTGGGGTTCCTTCCTTGTCAACCTGCTGGAGCAGATGAGATTCCCAACTGGAATTCCCAAAAAAGTGTCCAAATTCCAGCTGCTTTTCCGGGAGTTTCCTTGTGGCTCCTGGGAATTCCCAGCTGGAGCCATCCCATCCCATCCCATCCTTCTGCCCTTTCCCATTCCCGCCTTTCCCGGATTCCTCCCCCGTTCCGGAGGCAGCTCCAGATGGAAGGAATTCTAATCAGGAATTCCAATCAGGATTTAATTGCGGAGCACAGCTTGAGCTTCATTAATATTCCCCCCCCAAAAAAACCCCAGGAGCTGCGGCTCCATCCCGGCTCCTTCCTCACGGATCCCAGCTGGAATCTCCATCCCCAAATCCCGAGGAACAGCCCCAAATTCCCGGAAAATCCCAACTTTTCTTTATTTTTTCCTGGCCAAACCGAAGCGTTGGGATGCTGGGAAATCCCGGGATATACAGCGGATCAATCCCGGCTGGAGGAGTTAAAAAATTCCCGGTTTTTTTTCCTCCCCTCCGGAGCCTGATGAGCTCATTAAGGAGAATTTTCCTTGGGAATCGGCAGCTCCCTAATTAATCCGGCTCCATAATTAGCAGCTAACGAAGGTGACCCGGACACCGCCGAGCCGCTCCCGGGATTTGCCACCGTATTTTTGGATCTTTTTCCCTGGATTTTGCCCTCTGGAATCTGGGCCGAGCCGTCAGCTCATCCCAAAATCTGCATCCCAGCTTTTCCAGGGGGAGATCCCAGGGATCCGTGGGATGGGAATTGGGAGCTTCGCTCCTCCCAAATTCCGGAGCCTCGGGATTGGGAAGGAGCCTGTCCCCAGCACCGGGATAAAAATATCCCGAGGGAGTGGGAGGAGGACCGGGAAGAGCGGGATTGGCTCCATGGGAACGGGAGAATCCCGGAATTCTGGAATGGTTTGGGTCGGAAAAGAGCTCAAAGCTCATCCCAATCCATGGGCGGGACAGGGCGGGATTTGGGACGGGGAAAAGCTGGATTTGGGATAGGGAAAGGATGGATTTGGGATAGGGAAAGCTGGGTTTGGGATAGAGAATTCCCAATTCCAGTCTGGATACGGTTTAGGAATTCCCAAACCTCTTCAGGTTCCTTTCCATGTTCCCTTGGGATTTTCCCCCGGGATCCGGAGGCTGCACCAATCAATCCCTGGGGTTTTCCGTGTGGGATTGAAGGATGGAGCGGAACAAAGGGATTTTTCCAAGTTTCTGGAGCTTCCCGGGGAATTCGGAAGCATTCCCGGTTTGTGTTTCCCAAGGGAAAAGTGCTCGGGGAATTTTGGAAGTTGGGATCATTTATCCAAGATTTCCTGATGGGTGGATTTCCGGGAAAACTGGGATTCAGCCCCAGCCAGGGCGGAGCCACTCCGAGGGTGGGAATTGTGGATTTTTCCCATCCCTCGGATTTGCTGCTGCCGGATCCAATGGAAAATTCATCCCAGATTTCCATCCGGGAGGGAAATTCCTTCCCTCCCATCCCAGAACTGGCTCTGAGCCCTCTGGAATTCCCGGGATTCTCTCCACAGGGCCGGATCTGGATGATCCCGGGGGAATTCCAGGATGGCATTCCCCGATTCCGGAATCCGAAGGGTTCCCATCCCCCATCCTATCCCAGCCCTTCCCAGGGACAGAATTCCCAATCCCCACAAATCCACGTTGTTCCCAAATCCTTTTCCCAAAGGATTTCCCCTTTTCCAAGCGCCTCGGCGAAGGGGGAGGGGCGGAGGATTTCCTCCTTCCAGCGTTTTCCGTGGAAAAGCTCAGAGCTGCCGGGGCCGTTCCCGCGGGGCCGGAATCTGGGTCACTGAGCTTCCCGCGGATCAGGGATCCAGGGATTAGGGATTCACCTTGGATTAACTCCCGGCTACCACCAAGGCCCCGCTGAAAAACCAGCAAAACGCAGCTGGAATCCTGGAATTTTTTAGGGATTTTCCAAAAAAAACCCACATTTTTTTTATTTTTCCTTTCCCTCCCCCGGGTGCCCCGGGATCAGCGCATTCCGTGTCCTTTTCCCACCGAGCGCGACCGATTCCAATCAAAATCCCAGAATTCCTGGGGAAAAGGCAATGAATCCCTTGGGAATTCTCCATGATCTGGGAGCGCTTTTCCAGCCCCGATATTCCAGGATTCCGTGAATTCCCAGAGTTCCCGGCCGTCCTTTCCCTGCTCCCAGGCACGGATCAGCCGGGAATACTGGGAATATCGGGAATACCGGACAGACCCAACCCCTGCTCGGCCCATCCCAGCTCCCCTCCCTCCTCCGGAAATTCCCAGGAATCTCCGATTCCTCCCGGAACTCTCTGGGTTTTTCCCGACCTTTTCCCTCCGTTTCCCGTTGCAGACCGGCCGGATCGAGCCCAATTATCCCAAAGTTTGCGGCCACCAGGGAAACGTCCTGGACATCAAATGGAATCCCTTCATTGACAACGTCATCGCCTCCTGCTCCGAGGACACCTCGGTGAGCCGGAATTCCGGGATGCAGTTCCCACATCCCTCCCCATTCCCGGTTTTTCTCTCCCCATGGTGTTCGGTTTGGGAATGCTGAGGGATGAGAGGCTGATCCCGAATTGTGTCCGGCTCCTGGGCCCATTCCTTATTTATCCTCGATTGGCCCATCTGGCCAATCCCAGAATTCCAGGACAAACCAGGGAATCGAGCCATTCCCAACCCCATTCCAGCTGCGGATTGATCCCAGCTGGATCTTCCCAAGGATTCCTTGTCTATCCTCGAGGACCCATTGGAAATGGGGTTGATCCCAGAATTCCAGGGCATACCAGGAATTCAAACCAGGGAATTGAGCCATTCCCAACCCCATTCCAGCAGCGGATCGATCCCAGCTGGATTTTCCCCAAGGATTCCTTGAGGGCCCATTGGAAGGGGGCTGATCCCGGAATTCCTGAACAAACCAGGGAATCGAGCCATTCCCAACCCCATTCCAGCTGCGGATCGATCCCAGCTGGATTTTCCCCAAGGATTCCTCCTTCAGCCACCCCCCGTCAGCTGGGCCCATCCCGGAACCCCTGGAAGCTTTTCCTTGGGGAATTTGCTCCCGAGGCGCTGCGGGGCGCGGTTGCAGGTGCGGATCTGGGAGATTCCGGAGGGGGGATTGAAGCGGAACATGACGGAGGCGGCGCTGGAGCTGTTCGGGCACAGCCGGCGCGTGGGGCTCGTCGAGTGGCACCCGACCACCAACAACATCCTGCTCAGCGCCGGATACGACTACAAGGTGGGAATTCCCAGGAATGCCGAGCCCCGGGGTTCCTCCCGGGATTTGGACGGAGGGGAGAGCTGGAATGGGGAGGGGTGGGAGGAGATGGGAACGGAGCCTCCTTCCGGGATTGCTGTGGGGCTGGGAGAGATTCCATGGGGAAGGGAGAGATTCCATGGGAAACTGAGAGATTCCATGGGAACAGGAGAAATTCCATGGAGCTGGGAGAGGTTCCATGGGAAAGGGAGAGATTCCATAGAACAGGAACAGCTCCCGCCATTCCCAGTTGTAGCTCCTGCCATTCCCAGTCACAGCTCCCAAAAAGCAGGAACAGCTCCCAGAAAAAGCCAGAGCAGCCCCCAAAAACCAGGAGCAGCTCCCACCATTCCCAGTGCCATTCCCACCATTCCCAGTGCCATTCCCACCATTTCCCAGTGGCATTCCCAGTGGCATTCCTGGTGCCATTCCCACCATTCCCACTGCCATTCCTGGTGCCATTCCCGGTGCTGTTCCCACAATTTCCCAGTGCCATTCCCAATGCCATTTCCGGTGCCATTCCCACCATTCCCAGTGCCATTCCCACCATTCCCAGTGCCATTCCCAGTGCCATTCCCACCATTCCCGGTGCCATTCCCGGTGCCATTCCCGGTGCCATTCCCAGTGCCATTCCCACCATTCCCAATGCCATTCCCGGTGCCATTCCCACCATTCCCACCATTTCCCAGTGCCATTCCCAATGCCATTCCCACCATTCCCGGTGCCATTCCCGGTGCCGTTCCCGGTGCCGTTCCCGGTGCCATTCCCGGTGCGGTTCCGGCAGGTGCTGATCTGGAACCTGGAGCTGGGCGAGCCGGTGAAGATGCTGGATTGCCACTCGGACGTGATCCTGTGCATGTCCTTCAACAGCGACGGGAGCCTCCTGGCCACCGCCTGCAAGGACCGGCGGCTGCGCGTGCTGGAGCCGCGCTCCGGGAAGGTCCTGCAGGTGCGATGGAGAATCCCATGGGATGGGGCGGGAATGGAGCTCGTGGATGGGCTCCCGTTGGGATTCGGTGCCCGATTCTGGAGGTGGTGGCGAGGGGAGGAGTTGGGGTGTTTGGTTCAGGAGCGGCTTCCAAAAACTGGGAGCGGCTCCCGAAAACCGGGAACGGCTCCCGAAAACATGGAGCAGCTCCGATAACCCGGAACGGCTCCTGAGAACCAGGAGCGGCTGCCGAAAACCGGGAACGGCTCCCGAAAACAGGGAGCAGCTCCCACCATTGCCCAGGAGCAGCTCCCAAAAACCGGGAACAGCTCCCGAAAACCAGGAGCAGCTTCCGAAAACCGGGAGCGGCTCCTGAGAACGGGGAACGGCTCCCGAAAAGCGAGAGCAGCTCCCGAAAACCGGGAACGGCTCCCAAAAACCAGGAACAGCTCCAAAAACCGGGAACGGCTCCCAAAAGCCGGGAGCGGCTCCCACCATTCCCAAGAGCAGCTCCCAAAAACCAGGAGCAGCTCCAAAAACCGGGAACGGCTCCTGGAAACGGGAGTAGCTCCCAAAAACCGGGAGCGGCTCCCGAGAACCAGGAGTCAGGAGGAGGGCGGAGGGCTCTCCCTGACCCTCGGGAAAATGGGAATTTGGGCTTATCCAGGGGCGGGTTCTGGGATTTCCCCGGGATGGGAGCGGGGGAGCAGGGACGGGGCTTTCCTGGGATGGGAATTCCGAAGGGAATTCCAGAGCCCGTTCCCGCCCCGCAGGAGGCGAGCTGCAAAAATCACCGCGTCAACCGCGTGGTTTTCCTGGGAAACACCAAGCGGCTCCTGACCACGGGAGTGTCCCGCTGGAACACCCGGCAGATCGCGCTCTGGGACCAGGTGAGTGCCGCTGGAATTCCTGCTCCATCCCGCTGGAATTCCTGCTCCATCCCTGCCGGAATTCCTGCTCCATCCCGCTGGAATTCCTGCTCCATCCCTGCCGGAATTCCTGCTCCATCCCTGCCGGAATTCCTGCTCCATCCCGCTGGAATTCCTGCTCCATCCCGCCGGAATTCCTGCTCCATCCCGCTGGAATTCCTGCTCCATCCCTGCCAGGATCCGGTTCTATCCCTGCCGGAATTCCTGCTCCATTCCGGGCAGGATCCCTGCTCAAACTCTGCCGGAATTCCTGCTCCAACCCCACCACGATCCCTTCCCATCCCTGCCGGAATTCCTGCTCCATCCCTGCTGGAATTCCTGCTCCATCCCTGCCGGAATTCCTGCTCCATTCCCTGCCGGAATTCCTGCTCCATCCCGGGCAGGATCCCGCTCCGTCCCTGCCGGAATTCCTGCTGCATTCTCATTGGAATTCCTGCTCTATCCCTGCCGGAATTCCTGCTTCGTTCCTGCTGGAATTCCTGCTCCCATCCCGCTGGAATTCCTGCTCCATCCCGCTGGAATTCCTGCTCCGTTCCCGCTGGAATTCCTGCTCCATCCCTGCCGGAATTCCTGCTCCATCCCGCTGTAATTCCTGCTTCCATCCCGCTGGAATTCCTGCTCCATCCCGCTGGAATTCCTGTTCCATCCCTGCCAGGATCCGGTTCTATCCCTGCCGGAATTCCTGCTCCATTCCGGGCAGGATCCCTGCTCAAACTCTGCCGGAATTCCTGCTCCAACCCCACCACGATCCCTTCCCATCCTTGCCGGAATTCCTGCTCCATCCCTGCTGGAATTCCTGCTCCATCCCTGCTGGAATTCCTGCTCCATCCCTGCTGGAATTCCCGCTCCGTCCCCGCCGGGATCCCGCGGCGAGCTGCGGGATTTTCCCGTTTTCCAGGAGGATTTATCCATGCCCCTGACGGAGGAGGAGATCGATGGACTCTCGGGACTCCTCTTCCCCTTCTACGACGCCGACACCCACATGCTCTACCTGGCCGGGAAGGTACCGGGACACGGCATTCCCAAAAAATCCCCCGGGAATTCGGATCCTGGGATATCCCCGCCACGGGAACACATTCCAACACCCCCCTCCAAGCCAGGGCATTCCCGGGATCCAGGGGCAGCCCCGGTTTCTCCGGGAATTCCATCCCCGCCTCTCCCCAGGGAACAATTCCCGATATCGCGATATCCATCCCTTGGAAATGCTCCTAATCCCGGAGTTTTTTCCCCACTTTTTCCATTCCCATCCCTGTTCCCGGCTGTTCCAGGGGGATGGGAATATCCGGTACTACGAGATCGGCTCGGAGAAGCCGTACCTGAGTTACCTGATGGAATTCCGCTCGCCGGCTCCGCAGAAAGGGCTCGGTAAGGGCGGAATTCCCGCGGGATGGGGAAGGAGCGGCACCAGGAAAAGGGCTTGGATCAGGTTTGGGTTGGGATTTTTCATGTGGGAATTCCGGGGCTGATCCCGGTGCTCTCAGGGATTTTCCAAGCGGGAATTCCGGGGTTGATCCCGATGCTCTCAGGGATTTTCCATGCGGGAATTCCGGGGCTGATCCCGATGCTCTCAGGGATTTTCCAAGCGGGAATTCCGGGGCTGATCCCGGTGCTCTCAGGGATTTTCCAAGCGGGAATTCCGGTCCGATCCCGCTGTCTCTCTGCAGGGGTGATGCCGAAGCACGGCCTGGACGTCTCGGCCTGTGAAGTTTTCCGTTTCTACAAACTCATCACGCTCAAGGGTCTCATCGAGCCCATCTCCATGATCGTCCCCCGGCGGGTGAGCCCCGGGATCCGGGAATCTCCCGCATCCCGAACATCCCGTCCCGGCTCCGGAGCCTCCGGCCCATCCCGGCTCCGTCCCCGGATCCCGCCGTCCGTCCTCATCCCGGGGAGTTCCCCCACGGTTTAACGGGAACGCTTTTAGGGAATGTTTCTCCCAGGGTTGGGTCTCGCCTGAGGATTTTTGGGAATTTATCTCTTGGATCGGGGTTTTCTGGGAACGCCCTCCCAGGTTCTCAGCGCTTCCCAAACTTCCTCCCCGCGCCCGGAGATTCCCGATTTTCCGGGTGTTTATTCCCTCGGCGGGGGAGGGGAGCGGATTCCCAGATCCGTTCCCAGATCCCAGCGCTGTTCCCGTTTTCCCAGTCGGACACGTACCAGGAGGACATTTATCCCATGACTCCGGGCACGGAGCCCGCCCTGACCCCGGACGAGTGGCTCAGCGGGGTCAACCGAGGTAAAACCGCCGGGGGACGATCCCAAAAATCTCCGGGATGCGGGAAAAGGGCTGGCAGGCGGTGATCCGGGGGTTTTCCCGCAGATCCCATCCTGGTGTCGCTGAAGGAGGGATACAAGAGGAATTCCAAGGTGGTGTTCAAGGCGCCGGTGAGGGAGAAGAGGAGCGTGGTGGTCAACGGGATCGACCTCCTGGAGAACGTCCCGCCCCGCACCGAGAACGAGGTGGGGCAGCCCCGGAGCGGGAATGGGAAACTTGGAATGGGAAAATGGGAATGGGGATGGGAGAATGGGAATGGGAAAATGGGAATGGGAAAATGGGAATGGGAAAATGGGAATGGAATGGGAAAATGGGAATGGGAATGGGAAAATGGGAATGGGGATGGGAGAATGGGAATGGGAAAATGGGAATGGGAAAATGGGAATGGGAAAACGGGAATGGAATGGGAAAATGGGAAT